AAAACTTTTTGGTTTTTGTATTTTTTTATATTGATTCTTTTATTAGATTGTACGCATTTGTTTGTTATTTTTATAAAAATCAACTTTAGATGTTTGTTAGAACATAAACAACAATTTGGTATTTTTATGATTGACATGTCGATCAAATAAATTATTATTAGGATTTTCTATTTGCTTGCTCTTCATATTAAACTTAATTTTTGTACTTTTCATATTGTTTCTATTATTTGGATTTTTTTTTTTTTTGTTATTTTAATATAGTTTAGTGATTCTTTATTTTCAATTTGAAAGTTATATTATCTATCGTCATTGCACAAATTATTAGAAAAAAAAAAAAACGAAAACCCAAAATAATCAAAAAGTTTGTTAGGAGGTGGTGTATGACATGGATACTATATAATGAATAATTATATATTAATTATAACTGACTTGGCAGTAGATAAAATTACGAGTAGTGCATATGATATACCCTAGTTAAAAGTCGTGAAATATTGAGATTCGAACGATATGTTTCAAACAAGTAACATTTTGTATTATCATTATGTTTTTTCACGTAATTCATGTAAATGACTTTCACTAGTGTTTTAAAATTGATCAAATATTACGCTAAAAGCTAATTAACCATAACAATAATTAAAAATAACATTCAATTAAATTCGTAGTTTATAAATTAACCAATCATAACAACAAATGTTCATGGTTTCTACTTACCATAATTAAATGACAACATAACTTATCATCAATGACGCAACCTTTCATTACATGTTGAATGGAAAAAAACCCGACATAAAATGTGTGTAATCATGGGTTTTTTTATGCGGATAAAACCCAATTTTGTACTAGTGTTCATGATACTTACAAATATCGACACTCATATTGAAATTAGTTTTTCTGTAATTTAACTATAACTGAAGAACTAGCGGAAAACAAAATTATTTATAAGAGAATAATCATAGGTCTCGTAGATAGATAGTATGAAATGAAATATATTTTTTAGCAATTGATTAGGGATATATAATTACCGGGTTTTGTTAATCGATTATGAAAATGATGTGTAATTATATTTTATTCGAATTTGGAGAGCTACTCGACGAGTTAGAAGCCCCAAACTCGTCGAGTAGAAATCAGATTTGATGTGGGATCTTAAGCCACGTACTCGACGAGTTGAGGGACTTGACTCGATGAGTAGGGCTGCCATGATGAAACCATAATTTCGGGGTTTTGCACCCTATTTAAGCATCTTGATCCTCACCCTTAGCTTCATTTATAGCCTCCAAGTCCCAAAACCCTAGTGCTTTGTTTGAGATCGTAAGCCTTTTTGAGTGATCCTTGGGTGTATTGAAGCTTGTAGAATAAAAGAAAGCTAGATGGCTCAAGAGGGAAAGAGTAGATCCATAAACTACTCACCATTTGCTAAATTTTCGGGTAAGAAAGTCGCAACCTAGCTCAATGGTTTCTTTGATCTCTTCTTTTCATCTTTATGAGGGTTTTGGTCCAAGTTAGCTTGCATGTGAAGAATATTCTTCCAGATTTAGGACCTCGAAGGACTATGATGCTATAAACGTGCAAACTTTATGACATAAGAATCCCCATGCAAGCCATAGGGTGTCATTTTGGCCTTTTTAGCCTAAAGTGGCCATGCATGAGGGAAAAAATGGGAGCTTTACGTGTCCATGTAGTGTTAGGGGCTTAGATCTGTGTTTGTAAGTTCTTGTTTGGTGTATGGATGGCTTAAGAACCAAGTTATAGGTCCCAAGGAGTTAGGGTTTGAACTAAACCCATTAAGGAGGGGTAATAGCGGGTGAAGTTGGAAACTTTACCCTTAAAAAGGGCATTTTCAGGGTTTATGTGAAGTATGAAGCTTGGATCTGAGGTGTAGGGGCTTAATCCATCTATATAGCCCAAACAGACAAGGGAACTCGGCGAGTCCAAAAGGGGACTTGACGAGTTGACTTGATTTGTCCCGATTTCATACCAGGTAGAACTCGACACGTCTGTGAAGGGACTCGACGAGTTGACTCGGTTTATCACGAGTCTGAATAACATAGGAACTTGATGGGTTAGGAGGTAACTCGAAGAGTTGGGTCAAACTATAAGTTGACCTTGACTTTGACTTTGACTAGAGTGTTGACTTTGACCATGGGTAAAATGGTCATTTTACCCTTAGAAGGATTTTTAGTTTTGACTTAGTGTTTATTGTGAAATTATAGCCGAGGAGTCGTGGGAGCAGCCAATAGAGATTCCTCACCCGAGAGTTCAGCACCCAATTTAAGAGGTGAGTTTTTACTCCAAAAGAACGGGTCGAAGGCACCAAGGCCGGCCCGCATATGTATAATTAATAGCCGGGGCCCGTATCTTATAGTAGTCGAGTGTGGGCGAGGCCCGTATCTCATATCTTTATTTGTGTATGGATATATGTGACTGATTGATAGATTTAGTTATACTTGTTGTCTGTGTGATACTTGTATGTATGTTAAGTAGCTGAGTGTGGGCGGGGCCCGTATCTCATAGTAGCTGAGTATGGGCGGGTCCTGTATCTCATAGCTAGTAGAGTATGGGCGGGGCTCGTATCTCCCAGATAGTAGAGTGTGGGCAGGGCCCGTATCTCCATGAGTGTGGGCGGGGCCTGTATCTCCTAGTTACACGTATATGTGTATGGTATGTGGTAGTCTAGGAAGACTCACTAAGCTTTGTGCTTACAGTTTTTCAATTTTGGTTTCAGGTACTTTCGGTAGCAAATGGGAAGAGCTCGGGATAACTAAATGACACACACCACAATTTTCAGCCTGAGATATTTTAGACTCTGATATTTTGATATATGGTTTTGGTAAAATATCTTGATATGATGTTTGAGATATACGACATGTGATTTCATTATGTTGTTTTATGAATTATTGTTTTTTCTTAAATTATTTAAAACGAAATTTAAGGACTATATCTTTGGGATGTTACAATATGAAATGAAAAATAATTAGATCGTGAATAACCATATTGTGAATAATGATATCGATTATGAAAGAGATTGCAAATGAACATTTTAGTAGTTTAGTTATAATCTTGTTTAAAGATAATATTTCGCATTTTTTAATATTTTCATTATTGTTAGATTAAGCATTTGGTTATATATATATATATATATATATATATATATATATATATATATATATATATATATATATATATATATATATATTAGTCATATCTTGAATTTTAACAGGTACACGATACAAAACTTTTTGTAAAAATCAATTATATATAACAAAATCAGTTAATGAAGGTTATTAAAAAAATTAATTTGGAGCAAAATAAAAATTTTAAAATACTAAATCCATCAATATAAGTTTATTTACATTTCTTAAACTAGATGCTGATAATAATTAATTTACATCAAATGTATAAACATACAATATAAATATAAGTTATAAACATAAATATTTTTAATTAAAAGTGGTAATTTTTCTTAGTACATAATAACTAATAAGAAAATCTTATAATTATTTTACTGTAAGAAAATTATTCGCCCAAAAAAAAACTATTTATCGCCGCTGCTTTCCGCGGACACATATCTAGTGTGTGTGTGTGTGTGTGTATATATATATATATATATATATATATATATATATATATATATATATATATATACACAGAGAGAGAGAGGAGGGTTCAATTGAGAAAAAAAAGGTTGAGAATGAGGGAATCATTCTCAGCCACTCATTTATTTTTGCCGCAAAAGCCTCCATCGTACCACCAGAAATGGGAAAGGAATAGACATGTGTTTTCCAACAAAACATGTTTCCTTAAACTATGCTAATCATTATCTTAATATATACAAAAACATAGTTTTTTCGTTTTTTTTTTTAATTTTTAAGAAGCTATTTTTATCGAAAAAATGATTTTAAATATACCAAAATTCATGATTTTTTATTTTCTAAAAATAGACGTCCATATTAATATAGTTTTAAGATAAAATAATTTTTTTTTTTTTATATTTTCAGCTATCGTTATTCATTACTGAATAAAAATAAATCATGTTTTTACTACAGTACATTCGTTAGTTAGTTATGAATAAAAACTATGATTATTATTATTATTATTATTATTATTATTATTATTATTATTATTATTATTATTATTATTATTATTATTATTATTATTATTATTATTATTATTATTTTACAATTTAAGTATCGTTCATATATGATATAGCATATAATAAACATAGTATATTCATATTTAAATATTAGAAGATGCATTCACTTATTAATATTACATAGTATATTCACTTGTGAATATTAGATGATGTATTCACTTATAAATATTAGATAATATTTTCATATCTGAATATTACAGAGTATTACATGGTATATCACATGTGAATATTACATAATATATTCATTTGTGAATATTAGATGATATATTCACTTATGAATATTACACAGTATATTCACATATGAATATTATAATGTATTTTCACAAATGTATATAATTTTTATATGTTATTCACATATGAATAACATACAGACTTTCCTGTCAAATAATCCAACCAAACACACCATACATTTCTATCCAAACAAGATTAAACAATAGCAAACAAACATCCATGAAATCATTGTCACCTGTTTTCTTTTCTGTCAAATGAAACAAACCAAACTCCCTTCGTTATCGTTGATTTCCAGTCAACCCCCTTTATCCGTCTGTTCATGATGAACACACCAAACCTGATCAAATCCTTTTCCCCCATCTACTCACCCGTTGGACATCAATCACCCAAAGACCCACCTAACTGATTTACAATCAAAATAAAAGAAACGAGAAGAGGGTCGTACCAATTGATGTACCAACTGCCCCATCGAGATCCTTCAGCACTTCCCGTCGATTACCACAGCCAAAAGCCACCATCTTCTAGACTATTTCCGTCGATTGGAACCTCGGTTTTCCTTTATGCCTTGGCTCGTTGACCCACTAACACCGATTCCATCTTCCCTCACCTCCATCTCTCTTCATTTCTCGCCGGCAGGAAGCAAATGAGAGGCAGCGGACGTCCAACCCAATCTCCTAGCAAAACCAAACCCTCGCTTCTGGCTTCTTTCCGATCGTAATCTCCTAGCAAAACCAAACACCTCCTCCTTTGGTCTAGTCAAAACCACGGAGACCATCTCGGTTTGCGAGTCGGGCGACGAACCTCCGTGCTTCTCCCCCTTAATTAGACGAAGACGAGCACCGGAGAATCTTCACCTTGGTCTCCTTTGCTGCCGACGACGGGAGGTGAACGAAGGGTTGCTGCAAAGCCCGCTGTGTTCGTTCATCGATTCACTTCTCATTTTCCTCTCGCCATCATCTACTTCGTATTCCCTTTACAGCTTTACCCGATCAAAAAAAAAAAATGGATTGATGATGGTTTAATCGAAGAAATCCGGATGATTGTTGAAAGTTGGATAAGAAATTTGGATGATGAACGATGAATGGGTTCGAACTACAGATACATATTTGATATTAAAGGTTGTTCTCATATTTAGAAGTTTGCCACCGTATCTTTTTATGCTTGAATAAAATGAGTGGTTGATTCTCTCATTCTCAACCTTTTTTATTTTCTCAATTGAACCCACCTACATATATATATATATATATATATAGTTTTTAATTGTATAAAAATATAAACGTAATTTTGAATGTTTATAAGTTTATAAAAACACTATATCCAAAATCGGTTATTAGTCGATAATTGGACCCTTATCTAAACGTTTTGACAAACCGATTTTACAAAATGATTTAATTTTAAGGGGTGTTTGACCTGTCTTTTTGAGAGGCAAAAGAACTTTTTGGAAAAGTTACAAAAAGTCAGGTTTTCCTAACTTTTCCAAAAAGTCATTTTTCCTTCTATCTCAAATCTAAAAATCACTTTTAAAATGTTTTTACCAAACATCTTTGCCATTTATCTTTTCCAAAAAAAACTTTTGCCTTTCAAAAAGACAAGCCAAACACCCCCTAGACTACCCTACTTTTAGATATAGCACTTTCTAAAGAGCCCTACATTGGCAAAATAAAAAATCCCACTACACGCACGAATTTTCATATGCCTTCACATTTTTCATGAAGTTTCAACAAATCACTCATATACTGAACTAGAAAATTTTCTTTGAGACCAATATATCGATATAATAAATAAATTAGATATGTTATGAATCAGTATTATTATTCGCTTCTAAAACTCATGCACCTTCTCTTTCCCTTTTCTGGATGTGGAACACTCTATTACTTTTTCGTCGCCTGTATTTTCACCTGAAAAAGATGATGATTTCATGAATGCTAAACTCAGATGTCATCAAAACTTGACAAGTTGTATGTACTTACTTGTAGATAACGTCCCATCTGCTTTGGGTTCCCGAATGATTATTCCACCAGGTTTTCGAAAACCATATATCTCATCATCATTACCAATGGCTCGAGAGGATTCACATTCATCAGAAGACATGGTACTGTTACAGTTACATGAATCACCATCAACACCATTATTGCCATCTACAAGAAGAAGTAAAAGACTTGGGATATCTCCCACTTGAAACGACCATAACTGCACCACCATAGTCTCTTCGAGTGCATTCTCCTTAACAACTTTATTCCAACCAGACTTTAACACATAGTTTTGATTTGTAGACATGTCCCAATGGGTCAAAAACACGTCATAATGTTGTAGCCTTGATAGTACATAAAGACGCACTGCTCCTGTTTTCTGCATTAGCTTCAAAATATCTGGCCTACGAACTTGCTTTAAGGGCATCAACAGGCGGCCTTGCGAGAGGTTCACATCACTATAAGTTAGCTTCTTTTCAAAGACCAATTCTACTATCTCAGCACCTTGGATCTCTTCTATATACCTCTTAACTTTACGGCATTTCCCACCACAATGATTGAATCTTGATGTGGATCTTGAATCCATTGAGTCAAAGGTACTAGTTGTGATCGACTCATCACATTCGACTTTGCTGATTTCAGCAACAACACTTTCTGGAGAATTTGAATCTTGACGTGCGAGTTTACTTTTCTTGATCTCATTAAGTTTGTGTTCCGCCTCTGCGCGTAGAATAGTGGCATCCGTCGTAGGACATTGGAATCCAATCAATCGCAGCAACTCACAAATCCTTATCCTGCAGTTTCTTTCTTTCTCCTCGTTGCCTTTCTTAGTTGTAATTTTCATAGGCATTGGAGGTTAAAGAATTGATACTATTGCGTAAGAAATCTATTAAAAGATGAGGTAGTGTGATTGTTTATATATATGGCTATAATATATAAGACATGTCGATAAGCCTCGGGAAAGAAGTAATTATATATGTATGGTTTTCATAAATACGAGTTTTTTTTTAGACAATTTGTATCCCAAAAGGTTTCTAAACCCTCTCTTCAATTGGAGAATTCCATATTTATCGGGTGCAACAGAAGATATATTAGGTATGCAAGAATTGAATTGTATTTGTATGCATGATGTAATGTTTATCTAGATATGCTCCGGTTTTTTAGTTGTTGTTGCATGCCAAATAATCACATTTCTTCATTTTTGTTTCTTTTCAACTTAAGAGACAATATTACATATTGATATTTACACAAAATTATATAATTAGTCCCTATGGTTTTATAGAATTAATTTGTTGATTACAACTATAAAAATTTGTGTACATTTGTTTCTGGATTTTAGTTTCTTGTATGGTTACTTACCAATGATTTTATTTTGTTTATTTAGTAATTACCTATGATTTTATTTTGTTTTATCATTGATATAAAATTACTTATTATTATTATTATTATTATTATTATTATTATTATTATTATTATTATTATTTTAAAATAAGAAAACGCACCCAACCACACCATCCCACCTACGCACCCCCGCCCTCCATCACCACCACCACCATCTATCTGCCGCTGGAATCCAAGCTTTACAGATGCCAACTTCGTTGAAACTTTGATAGAGGACATTTTTCCAAAAACACACACGATATAGTTCCAATGAACAAGATGAGCATACACACATGCAAATTGATAATAAATAAACACACATGTAAGTCCATGGCAGAAGCTCTTTACACACATACATATATAGACATGAATAATTACATCAAAGAAGACCTAAAAATCAAGGACCCATAAACCAACTTGAATTAGTTTCAAGATTCTTCTGCAACAATGACCAAATCTGAAACATTCTTTGCTAGGGTAATTTAAAATAACATTAAAAATCATTTGTTTTGAAATCCAAAAGTGTAAAGATTAAGTTTGCAAATATAATGGTCCCAATTTTTACAAAAAACAAGTATTGAGTTTAATGAAAAGCGAGGTAACATCAATCATGGTAAAACAAGGATTAAGTACCATTCAAACCATGACCTTCTAAGTGTATACTAGTTCTTCTAGTCTCAATGGTCGTAATATAAACATACATCAAAATAAATTAGATAATGAAATTTCTTAATGAGAAGACCTATGTTGATTTATTTAGAGTAAGAAGATACCAATCTACCATACTCTAATCAAAGCTTAAAATCAAAATCAATGTAAACATTAAAGAGGAAATTAAGGTTTAAAATAACCAAACCCAATAAAGAGGGGTATTATATATCCCACATTTCCAATATAGAAAAGGGATAAGTATTAATAAGCAAAAGTTTACAAAATCATATAAAACTCCTAAAAGGGTAATTTACGAATAATATATAATAATATGCAATACATGCTTTGAGGCCTATGCAAACAACACTTTCACACACTATGCAACAACTTGTCGTCTGGAAAGGCTAAGGAGATGATATGTCGTCTCTAAAAAGTTGTCAGCATAGCTCCGTCGGTAAAATTTGAAAAAGTTGTTGAGACAGATGTCATCGGTATATACACACCAACGCCAACGATATGTCATCTTCAAAAGGTTGTCGGGAGTGATTTTCGAGAAAAAAAAGTTTTATTCTAAACGTATTCCGACGACTTATCGTTGGGAAAGGTGCAAGCAATACAGACGTCATGCCGTTTGGAAAAGTGAAATCAATACCGACAACTAGTAGTTGGGAAAAGTGAGTGCCAGACAACTTCGTTCTAGTAATAGAGACGACATGACGCCGGTATTGGTGAAATTGTTTTTACAGTTATAAAGCTATACTGATGACATGTCGTCGGTATAACCGTTTTTTATAAATATTTTTCATTGATTTTGTTATATATACAAAATATGTTTATTAAAACAAATCCAATAAGTATATATGCAGAATACTATCAAACACTTAATAAGTATAACAAACCATTAAAATTCAAATTCAAATTCTACTACATAACAATATAACAAAAAAAAAAAAAAAAACAATTCATCAATTGTCACAACCCCGAACCTGAACTGCGGAAACGGTCGGGGGGTTGGGTGACTTCATCTTGTAATATCATCATGTACAGTGTAAATAATTGAATCAAGACAACATCGTCATCACACATACAATAATACAACCATCATCGTTTACATAAGTGTGTGTTGGATTTCAAATTACATTTCAAATAAATAAGTGTATGATGATAACAAAATCCATGTGTTCTTGGTGACCAACCCACTTAACGATTTCTTGAGAATACAAGTTAATTTGAAAACATCAACATATATAATGTTGGTGAGTTCATAAGCATGTTTGTATGAAATTTTTGTATCACTTTGTAAACGCCATAAAAATACGATATTTTCTATAAAAATGGTTTGGAAGCTTTGTGTCAAATCTTGTATTAAAGTATGTGTGTTTTTGTTTTGAAAATGTGTAAAGAGAGTATTCCAGAAAATCCTATATTTTTTGTTCTAACTAGAAGGTAATGTATAATGTAAGTTTCCCAAAAAATCCGATATTTTCTGCTTGTAAAAGTGTTGTGGTCTTAAAACCCTAAGACCGTAAAGTGGTGTTTGTATAGTTTCGTAACTGCAGAGATGTATATGTATTCCGTAAATTTTACAGTGGAGTTAATCTCTATGTGACTCATTATAACCTTGTTTAAGGTAAGATATTTGTCATCCTAGACTGGCCTAGTCTAGCTGTAGCGAACAACGTAGGTGCAAGGCTGTCAACCTCGTATTGATCTATACACAAACTCTCGCTCTACCTCTAGGAGACTTTGGTTATAACTATAGGACTTAAGGTTGTACATTAGGTAGGTACGAATGAAAGAACGTCACACAAGAACCTTAACTAAATTTATGCGAACAGTGTATCATATTGTTTACTGTTTTAAAATAATGTTTCGAGTATACCTTTGATTTCAAAACATTGGTGATGAAAATACCATTCGTTTTTATCAAATCGTCAAGTATTGTTTGTTATTGGCCCGATTAACATAAAATGTGATGTGAGGCCCAATAAGAAAATCAATGGGCCTATAAGGCCCAAATAACATGTAATAAGAGGCCCAATAAGGAGTCGAAATGACATAATTAACCCATTCGTTATTATAATGCATTGTTTTAGCTAAATTAATATCAAAATTGCATGAAAGGTCCACTTTGATTGAAATTAACATTCTTGGCCCAATAAACCGAGAATTTACATTACAAGTCAATTTTGGATAAAAATGACACTTTAGGCCCATTAAGACCGAAAGATTACATTTAAGGGCCCATTTTGAATAAAATGACATTTTTAGCCCACTTTTGTTAGAAATAACATTTTCTTCCCTAATATATTGTAAATGACATTTTTTTGCCTAAATTTAATGGAAATGACATTTTAAGTGTAACACCCAAAGTTTGGAAGGCCAAGAAAAGGAAAGAAAACCTTAATTTTAAGGGAGACTCGACGAGTCCAAGGATGAACTCGGTGAGTCCGAGTGGGATCCGGGTCAAGGAGTAAGTGACCGACTCGGCGAGTCGGCTAAGGGGACTCGGCGAGTCTGGTCTGTGCGAGGAAAACCCTAAAATCAGGACTTAGAGCCTATTTAAACGTCTCATTCTCTCCCCTAGGGCTCCTTTACTGCCCCTTTCACCCAGAACATCAAACCCTAAGCCCTATTGTTGCTCATTCAAGCTTCCAAGCCATTTGTGGGCTGATTTGAAGGAAGAAGAAGAAGGGGAATCATTGGAGCTTCAAGGATTTGCCTTGGATTCGAAGATTGGAGAAGTTTTATGAGTTATTGAAGGTATTAAGTCGTTCTCTCCTTTAGATCTAGTATGGTTGTGAGTTTTGGGGGTTTTCTAGCCATGATTAGTTACATCTTTTGAGTTAGAAGCCAGATCTGAGGTTGCTACTTCAGATCTAAGCTAATTATGGTCTTGAGAAGCATAAAGTAGCAGCCCTTGAGTTGATTATGTAGCCTCTTTACCGTAAACCCTAGTTTATGGTGTATTTTGCTTAGATCTCCTTCTTTACACGTAAAGTTTGCAAATTTACGTGAGAAATAGGCTTGGGAAGGGTAGATCTACAGTTTGGAGTCCATGCATGACTCAAAAGCCCTCTGCATGTAAAGGGATTTGAATGGACTCAGCGAGTCCTTTGAGTGGACTCGACGAGTAGCATGAAGGTGAGGAGCAACTCGACGAGTGGGATGAACAGCTTGTCGAGTTAGATGAAGATTGCCTTCTACTCGGCGAGTTTGTTCTTGGACTCGACGAGTCAGGTTGCGAAACCCCAAAACCTTCGAGTTGACACTCGAATCAGTTAGTCGGGTGGAGACTCGGTGAGTTGGATAGGTCAGGACTCAGAAATCGGTACACTCGGCGAGTCGAGACGCGAATGGAAGGACTTTGAATATATGAACTCGGCGAGTCAGTAGGGTGACTCGGAGAGTGGGGTTGAACTGGAAGGTTGACCTTGACCAGGACTTTGACTTGGACCAAGGTTGACTTGGTTGTCTTTCGGGGGTCAGTTAGGCTCAATATTGCTTTGATATTGTTAGTTCGAGGAGCAAGGGGAGCAGGAGTTCAATGAGTTGCTGGGCAGCAGCTAGTGAGATCATCAGCAAGTTCAGCCAGTGCAGGTGAGTTTCCCTTTGTGTGAATGGGTCTAAGGCCACAATACCGGCCCATGTAGTTATGAGTAGAAGACCCGGGGGTTAGCCCTAGGCACAGTACGCTATTATGATTTTCAGGACGAGGTCCCTTAATAGCGGGCGGGTGCCAAAGGATTTGTTTATATGATAGTCTATACTTATTGTCTGTGTGATACATGTATGTGTTGGGTTTTGAGCATTCTAACA